CCCGCTCCGCCCAGCCCCGCTTAACGGCGCCGCACAAACACTTGTCGCCGCTTAATGGGCCGCCGCGCGCCTCTGTTGTCGCGAGGATGTCGCGGCAATTAGGACGGCGAGGAGCAGCAGGAGTATCGGACCCTCTCCGTGAGGACAAGAGAGGTGTCATTTAGTAATTTCTCAGCGCGACGCGCCTTCCTCGCGCGCGCCGCCGCTTGCGACGACTTAGCAGCAGCAGAGCAACGGCCAGATGAGGCAGACGCCCCTACCCCTACCGCCCCCGCGCCAACCAAGTTCATGAATGTAGTACTACTGTAAGGCGGCCTACTCCCTCGCGTAGCCCGCAGCGCGTCTTACCTTACCACTTGAGAGAAAGAGAGAGAGAGAGTCTACGAGACGACGAGACGTTCCGCATAGATTTATGGACTGCCCCCTAATGGTGGCGGCGTCGCGCCGTCGTGTCACACACACACACACACACATACACACACACACACACACTCTCACGGGCCGCGTGCAATGAATAAACCAGAGCGAAGGGCGGCAGGAATAAATAACACATGCATTACGACAGTCCTGGCCGACCAGGCCGCCGAGGAGGGCGGCCGAGGAGGAGGCCCGAGGTGGCCGGTAAGCGGGAAGGCCTCGGGAGCTCGGAGCGCATTTCAGGTGCCACCTGGTTTGATGCACCATCGCAGCAGTCAAACCAATTTTTCTACTTTGGTTGCCGAGTGTAAGTATATGATTACTGTGACTGCCTACTGCCTCTACGGTGTCTGTTCAATTCTAGCACGGCACAGAGAGGTGGTGCCATTTGCCATCCTAGCTGCTGTCTGCTCTGGGCTTATACATGGACACGGTGGGTATATGGTGCGGTCGGTCGGAGTCACGGAGTCACGTGGTCTCCACTTCGTCCCGTCCTGCCCCGCCAGCGCCCGGGGAGGCACGCCTAAGGCACACCACGTGGCGTTGTCACGTGGACGCCGTCGAGCTCGCGCCACCCTCTGAATGGACTCGGTTGAGCCCTCGCGCCCGCCCGGCGCCCGACCGCTGAGTAGGAGAGAGAGGGGGGAGGGGCAGGTCCTGGTCCTTCCCTCCCACTCCCACCCGCGGCCGCCGCTGCTTCGTGTAAGCACCGCGCGAGCCGCCACCGAAATACCTTGCCGCTGCAGCTGCACTCCCCGCCGCGGGAAGCTATATTGATGGACCTCGATGGGAAAGTGGGGCGTGGCGGGGAGTGGTGGGGCGTGGCGGGG